CTCAGTATATTCTGCCAGTGACTAAAACCAATAGAGCACAGACTAACATTTTAAATTTCAAAAGGCAGCAATCTGATGGCTTTCTTTGTTTACTTGCCCACAAATTACAGAAATCTATGACTTACCCCATCGTGTTAATTAGTTGAATCAAAGAATGCTTTGCAACCAAGGTTTATAGACCCGCTAATACCAACCAACTTAATACAGATCATTACATCCTATAAGCAAGTATCCAGATTTTAAAATCTTCACCCATACTGGTTTTAAGCATGTTGATACAAGTCTGAAAGACTGTGGCCTATATTYCTACTTTCAAGGGTTTCTTTGTGCTAAATTCACATTGAATCCTGTCACAGAGATTACCAAGAAACCTAACTGAAGCTATTTTGCTCACCAAGTTTTTGGGCTTCATTAGCAAATGAAAATATTTGTTGGAAAATAAAGTCTGAACAAAGCAACCAGCAAAAAGTATCTGAGTAACTGAATAATTTCCCTATTCTCCCTTATAAATGAAAAAAAAATAACCAAAATCACTACATAATATAGGTGGGTAAGACTGTTAAGTCTGGAATTTCAGTGAAATCTGGTGTGGGCTGGCCAGTAAAAGATGCTGATTTTTGTCCCTCATGCAAATAAATTCCTTCGACTAATATGATGGCCTGAGTTGAAAACCTCCAAAGCAGAGCTTTGCTCTCCAACACCTTATAAGCATTTCATGAAGCTCYATCAGATATTATGGCCCACAGTGGCCCACATAAGTCCAGCTTTGAACTCTTGTCTGATCTCTCCTGCTTCTCCTATATGGTTCAGCCAAGCCTTGATCCTCCTTCTCTGATTTTGCACAGCATTATTCCAGGCTCTCTCTCCATTCTCCATATACTAAAACCTAATAASTTTTGTTATAGTGATGTCTCACAGAAGCCTATAAACTGTCTGGGTAGGTCTTCTTTAACAGGCAGGAAACACAAGGCAGTTACATTGACAGATAACTCTCTTTCATGGCCCAGGCTTTTGTGAAAAAGTACCTTTTTTAAACTTAGTGAAAACCTCTTTGCATGACACTCATCAAACCAACTCTAGATCCAGAAGCATAAATAATTTATACCCATTTTTATTCTTGATCCTTTAAGAGTCTCTTTCCCTCAAGCAGTTCTTCACCAGGGAGGAAAATTCATCTCAACATCTGAGACATCCATGTTTAGGAAGAAAAAATTTGCCCTCTGTAGGTACCTGTTTCCATCAGTTATATCAGGAACCCACCCAAATAGTTTCATCTATTTACTTAATTTTCAGTTGGATAAAGTTAGGTAACTTGAACTCCATCCATCAAGATGGAATAAGTCACAGAGCTGAGAACAAGTATTTGCCACRGAAAGCCAACAAGCAACCACAAACATCTGCAACTGTCGGAGTTCAAAGCCAACAAATGCAAAAATCAGCTGTTACAGACAGCTAACGCGMGGAGAGGGTGCGAGGTGGGAGCTCCGCAGCGCTGCTGCTGGGAGGATGCTGCAGAGATGCTCCGGACCGTCCCGGGTAGCAGCAACTGCAGCCCAGCGCAGGGCTGGCGGGTTTCGGGGAACCCGAAGAGTTCTGGTGCCACCTAGAGGGAATTACTCGCCTAAAAAGTGGTGAAATCGTTAACGCACRTGGTGTCACACAATTTGCCACACATGTACAGCACTGAGGAAAAAGAAAATTCTAGAAAGTGGGGCTCTTACTGCTGTGAAAACTATATGCAGAATATGAGCAGGAGCAGCGTACAACTTACATCTTCATCTCAGTGTAGCTTGCAATTACAAATGCCGACAGTATATTTAAGACACCCCACCCAACTGCTGATTTCTCTTCCCTTCAAACAATTTCTCAGCTGTAGTCCTTCCCTTCTTCCTCCAGTTATTGAATTCTGAGGAAATAGCCAATAAGCTGACCACATCTGGAGGTTGGATCTTGCTTTCCTGTAGCACAGCCACAGCAGGAGCCAGCTGGCATGGAGGGTGCCTTGGGCACCCAGAAAGCATTATGTGGTCAAGAAAGCTTCAGGAATGCAACTCCACAGTCCTMTGCAGACCACCAGCTTTTCCAAATGACCCATCTGGAGTCTAGTATCTCCCTGTGTAACTTAAACCTGTTCTGCATGATAGCGGGAAAAGAGCCAGCATCCACAAGCAAAAGGAGGATTTATGTTCAAGCATGAACATAAATCATTGTATTTCCCTCATTATGAAATCTGCCATGATTTACAGCAGTGATGATAACCTGCAGGGACGCTATGGAGGTTGGGGGAGTACTGCTGATGGGTGGACTCTGCAACCYTTTCACAGCAGGTTAAAGTAATTTCTGAATAAGTGTTGGCCAAAACATTGTGGACCACAGTGCTTTCCTTAAGCTGCTGCACATGGTCACTGCYGTGGTTTGGTCCATGGGCACAGCATTCATGCTGTGGCTCTTATTTGACCCATAGGAAACTCCAAATGTAAGTAGTGCTGAAGCCAATTGATTAGATATTAAAAGAGACCTGTATATGTGTTATGGCTGCAGTTTTTCCCAGGCACAAATTCTCTCCCTTCCCAATCTATATGTCCTGGTAGAGTGCAGAACAAGTCTTGGGCCATGCTAATAAATCCCTGGCTTTGCTGCTAGTAACACCAGTCAACACATCATGGCTGGCAACACAGCTTCCCGTGTAGAATTAGTGCCTTGCACACTGAAGGCCCACATATAGAAGATGCCTGGTCTTYACTCCTTAGAGCTTAGTTCATCCAAGTGTATCTTGATATTGATATTGGTAGTTCACTGATCCCCATGAGAGTTGTACCTCCAAGGCTYTGGGTCAGATAAATTTAGAAGAATATTCACCTGCCAAAAAGTTAAGTACCCGTCACCCTAAATGGGAACACAGCAAGATGTTCAGCATGTCTTTGGGTATGTGGGACTGTCCTGCTGTTCTGCTGTCATACACCACAGCATCTGCTCCCCAGCAGCACACCTATAGACCYTCTGGCCTCCACTGTTTCATGGACACTATAACAGCTCTGTTCCTTATCAAAAACTTCACTTTGCAAACATCCCCAAAGCCCAAACTCCACAGAAAAATATCACTTGAGTGCAGTGGAAGCCAAGGACTCATTCAGACTGCTGCAGGGCTATGTCATACACCCAGCCAGGATTCTTTTAACCATGATTTAATGCAAATAGYATCTGAACTGGCCACCAAAATTGCTGAGCAAAACTATTTTAACTTTTAGAAGGTTGCTCTTCAGACAAAGGAAGGACACACTTTACAGGCCAGACTATTGCTGCACCTTGCCTTATCGGCCTGGTGGAAGCCGTAAAAGGAGCAGACTGCAGAGACAAGGCTGCAATGTGTCTCCTTTGTGTTCAGACAGGAGAGGAGGCTGAATASAAAGAAGTACATCTGCTGTGTTTCAGAGATACTGCAAGGGCAGACSGTGTCCAGCTGTGGGGAATGTGAAGCACACGAGGATGGGGTGTCTCGAGTCAGGACCTGCAGAAGCACATGGTGGCTTCCAAAACAGATGTGGCTGCTCCCAGGCTTACACATGCCCTGCCCTGCTAGAGCCACTCACCACAGCAGCACTTGGGAAACGTGGAATGTGGAGATAAGCACAGCAAGGCAGCTGCTGGATCCAACCTCCGGATGGTGACACCCCTACCTCCAGGCCAGCAAGTCTGGACTGTTCTCCTTCCCCCTGCTGTCACCGGCTGTGGGATTACCTGCACATGGCCAGTTCCTTCCWCTCATTCCTCAAAAATTACAYCCACCAGCCTGATATATTAATTTCYTGCTAATTRTCAAAACCATTTGGCYGTGAAATCCCTGAACCACATTTAGGTTTCAGAATTGACAAGAGAATTAGACTGAGCTACAAGCATTGATATAAATGATATTGAATTTAATGTATTTATTATAACCTGTCACGCAGATACAGCCAAAGAGCTACCAACACGTTTTAGCATTTAGCAAACGTGAACTTCAATGATTTTCTCYCAGAACAATGTTATTGATATCATGAGCACTTCAGCTGAGCATGTGCTGCTTTGAAGGATTCAATATTGGGATTGATTAATACAGTCGTATCTCAAAATAATCTCTGCTTAGTAAAGTACATTGATAAAAAGATTTGCACCTCAATGTCTTTTTTGCAGTGAGGGACACAGAACTGAACACAGCAATCGAGGCATGGCCTTGCCAGGGCTGAGTGTGGGGGACGATCACTGCCCTGGTCCTGCTGGCCACACCATTGCTGATCCAGGCCAGGATATCATTGGCCTTCTTGGCCACCTGGGCACAGCTGGTTCATGTTCAGCTGCTGTCACCAGCATTCCCAGGTCCTTTTCTGCTGGGCAGCTTTCCAGCCACTCTGCCCCAGCCTGTGGCACTGCAAGGGACTGTTGTGACCAAAGTGCAGGACCTGACACTCAGCCTCGTTGARCCTCACACCACTGGCAATGGCCCAGCCTGTCCAGATCCCTCTGCAGAGCCTTCCTGCCCCCCAGATCAACTCTATCCCTCACTTGGTGTCATCTGCAAACTCACTGAGAGTGCACTCGACCATCTCATCAGAATCCTGACAAAGATATTCAACAGGACTGGGCTCAACACTGACCCTTGAGGAACCCCACCAGTGACCCGCTGCCACTGGATGCAGCACCATTCACCACCACTCTCCGGGCCCGGCCATCCAGCCAGTGCTCAACACAGCGAAGAGTGCACCTGCCCAAGCCGTGGGCTGCCAGCTTTTCCAGAATGCCGCGGGAAACAGCATCAGGAAAAGGCTTTGCTGTAGCYCGGACAGACAGCATCCCCCGGCGCTGCTCTGGGAGCAGCTCCACGGTCAGGGCTCCGCAGCCTCGGCCCCCACAGGGCCCGCCACTCCAGACAGCGGGAAGCGGAAGGGACGGAGCCGCTGCCGGGGCGGAGCGGAGAGGATGGGCCGGGGCGGAGCGGGGCCGGGGCCGAGCCGGGGAGGAGCGGGCCCGGCCAGGGAGCGGGGTGGAGCGGAACCGGGCCTGGGTGATGCTGGCGGTGCTGGCCGCCGCCTGGTCCCTGCTGGCTGCCGCATTCCTAGCGGCGCTGCTGCTGCTCCGGTGGGCCCCGGCGCGACGGCTCGGTGCTGCCGGCCTGCTGATCTCCGGCCTCTTCCAGGACCTCATTCGCTACGGGAAGACGAAGCGCGGGTGCGGGCAGCTCCCGGGCTGGCTGCGGCTCCTGCAGGTGCCCAAGAGGTGAGGGGCGGTCCCGCCGCCGTGCGCGTCTCGGGGACTGCAGCAGGGCCGGGACACTGAACTGTACATGGCTCCCTCCAGCTCTATTGCAGGAGTGGAGCATGGACACTGCGACCGATCATACAGAATCCGTATGCTTGAATCCCAGTCCCATGCGAGATCTCCAAAACAAAYCTTATAGCAAGGTCAGGCACCTGGGAATGTGAAATCCTATTTAACCGTGCAAATGTGCTGCAGGTTGTCTGTCTTAGACCGATTCTCAGTGTTTGCCTTCTCCCTTCAAGGTTTATTTTTGAAATGTGACCAATAATAGCATGGGAACAACAGCAATCTAGACTTAAATGAACAGTCTCCGATAAGGCAAAAGAAGCACTGCGTTATCCAAGTCCATCTTAATAGATGTTTGATGAAATGAAATAAAATATATGTATATGATTAGATGTTTAATGAAATGAAATAAGGAAATTAAGTAGATGTTTAGTGAAATTATGAAAGGGGCAACCCCCCACATTTATGGCTTCTTATGTGTTTCTGGTTTTGTATATTATGGGATTTCTTATTTTTTGATAGCTGAGATTCATGACTAGAACTAGTCATTGAATGTGAGCCAGATGGGATCTTGCAAGGCCAGCAGGACAGGACTGAGAGGCTACTTAGCGTGAAGATCCGATCACCCCTATTGTAACAATCTCTGACACATATTGTAAACAAAGCTTTCAAACCAAATATTTTTTAAAGGTTTTGTGACACAGCATGTTATATATGGAAAGGTAATGTAGTATCTTGTTTATCAGGCTTCATGATACTCCAAATACCCAGGGATATGTTTAAGCTCTGCAGTACCCTGAGTGAAAATAAGGATTCAAAGGCTTTGTCTTAATCACTGTCCTGCAAAATGCTACATTCTTTAGGTAGGTTCTTGTCTGAGTTGACCTTTCTCCAGCAGAAGTTTCCCAACACCCTTTCTTAGGGAGATTGGTGTCTGAAGAATGTGCTTTTTCAGGGAGTTGGTCTCAAGCTCTCAACATCTACAAAGCAATTCTGTTACTTGATTAGTGAATCCATAACACTTCTACCTGAAGGAATAGAGAAGATCTTGAAGATAGCCMCCAAGTAATTTTCTGTTCTTTCCATCTGTGTCTTGTTCCCAGACAAGCATTGTGTTTTCACTGCCCTGGGCCTGTTTTAAACTTTGCCACTCTGTCTTGTAAAGTGTTGCATTTCAGGTTGGTTTGGAAAACTGAAAATTCCTCCCCTTGAGGAGGGATGACACATCTGCTTACTGCAGTGCTGGTTTGATCTCTAGGTCAGGTGTATCCCCAGTGTAATTGGGATTGCTGAAAGCTCATGGGTGTATCTCTTCTAAGGTGCCAGGGCTTCTTTGTCTGCTGGTGGCAAAAATCAATGTGTGGAGAAAGCTCCCTAAGAGTGACAAGATATAAGTTGACCGAGTAACAGGACTGTAGGGAAAGACCTTGAAACTTGGGAGGTGGTGGGGAGTTTTTATCAATATACAAATTCTGGGAATTTGTATATTCAGAAAGTGAGGGAAAGGGATTAAATTTTAGTTCTGCTGTTGCAAGTCAGCAGACCAAATGTCATTTCTGCCTGGTGGGAGAAGGAACGAAATTGATAAACTTCAGGGATTAGGGTTGCTAATCGCCAGGGTGCTCTGGAGCGTGCAGGGATGCTTGCTGCCAYTATGATTCTGACTTGATCTCTCGTGCTCTTGAGAGATACCTGAGCTGCTCCAGGAAGGGGTTACTTTCATTGCCTTCAACTAAGCAAGGGTRTTGTACCCCTGCACTGCACCAAGAGAAGATTTTGCATGTTCAACAGAAATATTATCTTCCCTTCACGATACAATATTACCCTAGTTTTGTACCTATAGTTAAGTTGTTAAGGCCATCAGCATCTTCCCGTGGGATGTATTTTATCTCTTTGAAGATATTTCCAGATTTTTCTTCATTGCCAAAAGTACTTTTAATTTTAAAAACACAAGGAAATATTGGATCACCTAGTTTGAACTGGATATTGTACACAGTTGTATATTGCTGGATATTGTAAACAGCTTTAGGCTGTTTAAGTCAACCCAGTTACCTGCTTTGACTGTCATGTCTTGCATTTCAGTAAAGCACAGTGKGCTTTTTAAAGTGCATTATGGAGTTGGGAGATTTTTTGTTTTCTTAACAAATGTGGTCTTGCCTTGTAATCACCCAGTAGTGTTGATGGTCACTGTTTGTTTTTTTTTTCTATATGATTGTTGCGGACCTTGAATTTGCAGAGGTACAAGATATTTTAATGTAGACTGGGATAATTACTTCTAGTGCCTTTTACCATCTGCATTTGTAACTGATTAACATGTCATGTAATGCATCGACTGGAACTGAGAAAAGTGGGAATGCTGTGAGGTGCAGCATCTTGGAAATACSCAGAAAACTAATCTGGATGTGCTTTGCTTAAATGATAATGTTATGTACATCATGATTAGTTGTAAATCTTGAGGAATACATTTGCAATGTGTGGATTACACTGTATGCTCTTTAGTGCAGCTATGGTTAGTAAAGTAGGCTAAGTGAGAGGTTATTCCAGGCAGCATTTCATTGGGGAAAAATGTGTTAAGGTTATTGCTGCTTGGTACCGCTGAGGTCCTGCATTCTCTCCCTGGGCAWTTGATGTGGGCACAAAAGGGAATGCACTCACCATCAGGTAGGCATGCCCTGCAGCTACATTTCCAACTGAGGAATGATGAGAACATCAATGAAAACCCTTTTTTGTTCCCATAGGTGGTTTACTCACTTTTATGTGGTTTCTGTGCTCTGGAACGGTTTTCTGCTGATCTGGCTTTTCCGAGCTGAGTTCATTGGAGAGTCGCTCCCATCATGGATTCAGCACATGCACCATGCTCTTGGCAGAGATTCTCAGAGCAAGGACATAGGCAAGTATTCCAGGTATTATAATGTAGCCGTATAAATATTAAAAACCTGTATTACCAACACTGTGCTGAATTTGTATTCAAGTGCTACTTCATTGGTTGTTTTTCAGCTAGGCTACAAATTACTTTCCTGGTACACCAAGTACCTTTGTCATTATTCAACACCGAAATATTTCTAATTTATGGCTTTCAGCAGTCCTTTTAACAGAAAGAGCCATTAACACCTTCAGGAAGAAATCTTGCTGTGGTCAGCAGTGCCTCATCTGTACAAATATTTTCCCCAGTTAATTTAAAATGAGGGTAAAATTTTGCGGGGGGAGGGGGGAACAGTCTTTTTGGAGCACTGTCAGGATAAATTGTTCCTGTCTGTTTCAAAGTTGCTGKTTTTTATCTGTAAGCAGATAGTGAGCATGTGTCTGCACTCCTGGTTCTCTTGCTCCTTTGGCTACATAGCTGTCGAAGACTTGCAGAATGCCTCTGGACCAGCGTGTTTTCCAATGGTGTTATTCACATTGTGCAATATTGCTTTGGRCTTGGTTACTACATTGCTGTTGGCTCAACTGTGCTGTGTCAAGTGCCTGYTAATGTCAGCAATGGTAAGTGCCTGCTTAGTTGTCATCAAAGGTGTAGTTTTGCTCTCATTTGTTTCCATTGTGGCACATGGTTTCATAGAAGGCTGCTTGTCTGAGAAGTGTGTTAACTGATGAGATGTGAAAGTACTTCCTCTCATAGTTCAAAGTGATTACATTTCAGTATATCACATTATCAGCCAGCATTATACACAAACAGTGACACTTTCATGTTAACCACCACAGTTATTTGCTGAAAGATGTCTCACAAAGATACTTYCAGGATATCAGTCATATGCTTTAGGAAGGACAGTAATAGGTACCACTTCTCAAATACATAACTTCAGTTCTCAAACTGAAGAGTTTTTTGTTGTAAGCTTTCCTGCAGGGTGAGTCTGCAAGCTGTCTTGGCTACCTCATTTTTCTTACGTGGAGTACTTACCACTGCTCTGTCTTGATTCAGGCAGTTTCTTCTGTCCCTTGGTACTGTAATGTTTCCATTAATGCATGAAAAATTTGTGTTATATGGCTTTATTCTGCCAACACATTCCAATGGGTCTCACAAATGAGCTGCTAAATCCCCTGCATAGATGAACCACAAGCTGGTTGTAGCAGTCCTCCTGTGACCAATTTTTGTGAGGCAGTCATTAATAAGTATATRAGTTTGGTGAAGTTTTTAACTGCTTCAAACCACATCAGGCAGGGGCTGGTATCTAGCTGCTGGTATCTATCAGGTGTGTATGTRTGATATCACTGTGTGCTTGCATGTTGACTTGAGCCATCACGTTTAATTAGGATAATAATAGTTACAAACTATTACAGTTTGTTTTATAGTTAGTATAGTTATAGTATAACTATAGTGTTGGATATTGAGATCTCAGATTACCAATTATTTGTCATTGTACATCACACTGTATTTCAAGCTACTGGATTAATAACTAGGTTTTTTTTTAATATACAGTGGTTAAGTGCTAGCTGGGCACTTAAATGATGCAGGATTTAAAAGCATCTTTCAAGGGATTAGAGGCTCACTACTAGAATTTTATAAGACAGTAACATTTTAAAAAATGTATATAGTGTTTTGGGATGATGTTTGGGAAGTTACTTCTTGGCTATATATTAATAAAACGTATTTCATTCAGGAAAAGAGCTTTCTGTGCAGATCTGCTGGTATCACATTGTAGGAGTTACGATGTACATTTGGGCCTCTCTTCACCAGCACAGATGTCTTGCAATTTTAGCTAATCTTAGAAAAAACAGCTCAGGTAAGATGTTTCATTTCTGTCGACTGTTTACTTAGGTATTTTTTTCTGGTTGTTTAAATAGGCTTCTATAGCTTATTATACCTTAAACACGAGGTTTTCTCAGTTCCTGTAGTGTGTAGGTTAAATGAGGCTGTTTGGAAAAGAGATTGGATGGCTGAATTGGGGAGAGAGTGTATGCTATGTCTGTATGTATAGTTCTGTAAAACTTTAAATGAAGCTCTGTTTTCTAACATCTTAAGGACAGACACATCCTAATGGTTAGGGCTTGTTCCACTCCTCAGGGACCTCACTTCCGTTTCCATGTGGGATAAAGATCAGTTTCCTTAGTCTATATTTGCACAGCCAGAGGTGGCATCTTAATTAATTAAGTGCAAAGCTGCCAAATCAGATGCACATGGATGATGATGATTAACTTTAATAAGCATATTGTTCTGTAATTGTGATATATGTTTGTTTAATGTATCTTCCCAATTAATTTCTTCCCRTTTGCTTGCAGGAAAGGTTGTAAATCTGAGCCACAATGTACCTTTCGGAGACTGGTTTGAGAGCGTTTCTTGCCCTCACTATTTTGCAGAGCTCCTCATCTATGTTTCTATGGCCATTGCACTTGGAATTTACAATGTGACGTGGTGGTGTGTAGTGATGTATGTTTTTTTTAACCAGGCACTGGCTGCTGTTTTGTGTCATGAGTTCTATCAGAAAAACTTTAGGTCCTATCCAAAGCATCGAAAAGCATTTATACCACTTGTTTTTTAGGGCTTTTTTTTCCCAAAGTATCTTTGTGCAAACTGGGAATGTAAGAGATAAATGGTTTATTAAAACCAAGGAAAAGTCACACACTTTTCTCTAGTYCTACCTCAAAAGCCCATAATTTTAATGATAATCTCATCCATGTAACCAATTTAGGTGAGGAAATGTAAGGTCTTTGCATATCATACAAGCTAAAAAAGGTTTACTGAAGACCTTAATTCTAAGTGAAGAGATGCTAATTGGGTCTTTTCTATATCTTGTGCATAAAACACTTGTTGTGCAGCAAGTCCAAATACATATATGTGAAAACTSTTGAAAAGAGGGAATCATTTGAAGTACCTGTATTTCATGCCTTGACTAATATTTAAGCATATTTCTTTCTGAGTCTCTTTTCTCTGAATCACTTCAGAGGGAGGCACATCTTTCTGTGCTTTCCTGCTGACAATTAAAACCAGCTTTACAACTGTAAGCACAAAAAGCAATGGAGAAAGCTGCGGTGGAGGAATGACTCATGCTCAGCAGTGGAGATAAACAGACCCATTCGCTGCATTATCTCTTCTGCACCAAAGTGTTTTCATTCATTGATGAAGAATGCTTTATCCCTAAACTGGGAAAACAGTGGAAGGTTCTCTGACTAAAAGGACAGTAGAAGAGAATGTGCAGAAAATTAACGTTCTTTGTTGTGTTTCTGTTGTCTTTATAGTGGGTTATTGGAGTCCCTCCTGTGTTAGAGGGGACAGCTGTGCAGGATGACCATGACCATAACTACACTGTTTTTTAAACAGATACAATAAACTGCCAAGGCAGAGAACACACAGAAACCAGTACCTGATAAGGACTGCAAAGAAGTTCTTTACTGGGGAGATGATGTCACTCAACACAGGGACCTTTTTTGCACTTAACTATTGAATATTTTGGTCCTCTTAATGATCAGTTTATGTGATGAAGTATATGGATGCTGGTGTTTCACCATGTTGTCTACTTACATGCACACATTATTTTGAATATAAGAAGTATTTTTATTCACTGAASTATATCTTATGAAGTGTCTAATTAAAAGTTTTTTATACTCTGTTTCCATATTGTATGATTTTTTAAAATTTAACTTACATATTTGAAAATCACTTTGCACACAATGTTGTGGCTCTCTTGGCTGTTGCATTCCTCCTTCCGTAACACTCCTGTAGTTTCAGTTCACCGTGGAATATCAGCAGCCGTGGCTTGGGACCGTAATGTATTTTTTTAAGTGGTTCTCTAAAGGCTCCTTGAGCCTGTCTGTGGATGTCTGCTGTTTAACTGGTGTTGTCTTGTTTCCTAAATTGCTCCTCAGGAAGCACATTCCTGTCCTTGCTCTGGGGAGAGCACTGGGGTGCATGGTTCTCCTGGGGTCCCCAGGGAAAGTATCATCTAGAGTGCTGTGCCAGGTTCTGGGCTCCTCAGTACAGGGGAGAYGTGGAGATCCTCGAGCAGGTGAGGGCAAACAGAGGTGATACGGCGTTTGGAGCATCTCTCTTACACAAGGAAAGGCTGAGGAAGCTGGGCCTGTTCAGCATCGAGAAGAGACCTATGAGAGGGGTCCTCAGTATCTACAGACCTCAGCATCTAATGGGGGGCAAGGGGTGCTAAGAGGATGGATTCAGGCTTTCCTTGGTTCCAAGCAACAGGACAAGAGGCAGTGGGCAGAAACTGATGCACAGGAAGTTCCACCTGAACATGAGCTTTTCTATGTGGGTGATTGAACACAGGAACACATTGTCCAGAGTCTCTGGAGTCTCCCTCAGTGGAGATATTCAGGAACTATCTGGAAACAACCCTGTGCCGTGTGCTCTAGGATGACCCTGCTTGAGCAGGGATGTTGGACCAGATGTCCCCCTGTGGTCCCTTGCAGCCTGACCCGTACTGTGATTCCGTGCTCGGGCACACGGCCCTGCTRGGGTCACGCACACCCGAACCGCTGCTGTGCACTTGGCCATTAATGCAACCGGGACGTGTCCGGACCGTTTCTGYGTGGATTTTTTACCGCCTTAAGCAGCCGCTTCCCGTCCCTCCCGCTGCGCCCTTTCCCTGCCCGTAAGCAACTCCGAACGGGAAAGGGACGCGCTKGGACTCGCCCGCTCCCCGGGAATGCCGCCCCCGGCGCGTCACCTTGGCCCGTCCCCTCGTGACGCCGGGAGCCGAAGGGGGGGGGGATACCCTCGGCAGGGTCTCGGCCCGAGCGCTGGGAGCCGGCCCGGGACCCAGCAAGGGACCCGCGGTGCCGGGCCGGGCCGGGGCGGAGCGGGGCGGGGCGGAGCGGGCAGTCCGCGCGCGGCAGGAAGCGGTTG